TTTTTCATGCTGATATTTGGATGTCAACATCACTCAATTCCATCACAAACCCTAAGGTATAATTCTGGCCCTGGCATCAGATTTTTTCTTAAGCTTTTCAGTATTATGAACAATTGAAATAGATGAACTAAACGATTACTCATAAAGAAGTAGAAACCTGAAGTACTTTAATAACTATAGAAGACAGAGAATCAGACACAAGTGGCTTTATCCGTGAAACCAAAGTAGGCTTCAAGTAACGGTAATGCCTAGGTTGTTTAAACTTCCTTAAAATAGAGAATACATTTTTAAGAAAGTTTTTTTATTCTCTCCAAGAAGTAAATAAAACCTGATATCCAAAATCAGCTAGGGGATCACAAAAATAACCACCATAACAATAAATAACAGCCCCAATTTCACTTATAAACAGAGTTGCTACAATAATAATATATCAGGACAAACTAGTTTTTATCCCATTAATGATCTTGTGACTCAACACAACGATATTCATTACTGTAAACTGACTTTACTAATAGTGTAATCCACTTAAACCTAGGGAGGTAAGTGTCGCAGTCTTTGTATAAAACCTTAATCATACTAGCAAATATAACTGTATAGTAATTAAAAGCTCCTCTGAATTGACAAAATGTATGTCAAATGTAAAAATACATTCTTAATGCATAATAAAGCTTCCAGAAAGTCCTTTCTAGATGTTTCTTCTACATATTTATCACACCCCCATTAATTGCCTCAAAATGTTTTCCCTCCCAAACTTTCCCCAAACTTGGCCTGTACATGTATGCTTTTATTTCTTACCCCATCATTTTTTTTTTTTTGGAATTACCCCACCTTTTTTTCTTTATTGGAATATTGATTCTCTGTACTTTCTAAAGTAGAATTTTTTGGTTCTTAGCTTTTCCAAATTTCTTTTTTCCCTTGCACAATCTGCACAAAAGGCTAAGGGGCTGATGAGGCAAAACAGAATCATGACAAAGATGAGTAGGCAGAAAGAGAAGCTGGAAACGTCAAAACTATGGGTGAGAGGGAAAGTCAAGGAAGCTAATTACCTTGAATTGATATATTTTAGTCAGCCACAACAGGTTAATGGATAAGAACCTTATGGTTATTTTGATATATTCCAAAAAAGCATTTAATAAAATTCAAAACTTTTCCTAGTTAATATTTCTTAACTGTTATTGAAGAAACCTTCTTAAACTCAGCATATATTTAATTTTCTATGACAAAATGGAATTCATTGCCTTTTTCTCAACTGTTACTAACCTGACTTAAATGCTTTTTAAATGATTACTGATTTTGTTTTTTTAAGGGACCAGATACACTGATTGACTAGTCTCTAATAAACAAATAAAAATCTGTCTCCAGTCTAGACTTAGTGAATCAGAATCTCTGATGGGTGGGACCTAAGCATCTTTGGCTTTAAACAGCTCCTGATGATTCTGATATACACATTGCTTACCATCCAGTATTGGGGGGAAGATAGGCAACTACACTATTAATTTCAGTATGAAGTAGACTGATACTAGCATTCTGGAAAGCTATGAGAGGTACTATGGAGACACAATGGTGGGAAACATTGCTTCTGACTGAGAAGCCTTCTAAAGATGGCATATTATAAACTCTGGGAAGGATGAACGCAAAGTAATAAGGATCATTTATTCAATACCTCACTTATGAGAAGGGAAAGAGCTTCACTTGGATTGCCGCTTACAGGATAAACCTGTGGATATTTGAAGACAGACTTCTCGTCTTTTTCTAAGAAAAACATTTCAGTTTCCTAGTGTTGGGGAATATTTAAACATTAAATTTGCAACGTCCTGATACTGTAGTACCAGAGGACTATTATTAATCATTAAGTTTCTAATGTTCCAAAAGAATTGGCAGAAACTAAGAAAAGTGTACATCTTCTTTATCCACGCATCCATTGAACAATTGGGCTCTTTCCATACTGAGGATTTTCCTTTTTTATTGAGATGTAATTGACACATTATGTTAGTTTCAGGTATACAACTATAGAGAGCAACATGGGGTCAAGCAGTTACTCACGTCAAGCAGTAACTTAGGTCAAGCAGTGACGCAAGAACCAAGGGCATTGCAGCTAAGACCAGATAGCACCGAAACCAGCTTGAGCTGACAACACACTCAGAACCGATGCTCAGCAGAAACAGAGGAGGTCTGCAAAGGCCCAAGACTCGTTAAATCCTTTAAAAAAAGGAAGAGTTTGGTAGCAACCTTAAGACTTTCAAGACACTGACCATTTTGTGTGTGACCACATGAAACATGGACGATTTGGAGGCAGTGGCCACCAAAGGCTCTGATCGATTGATCTCCGAACAGAACAGAGAGCCTCCACTGCTTGGACATAATCAGAGGCACATTCTGAGAGCCGACCTGGACAGACCTAGGCTCTGTGTCAACTGTGCGTCCACGGACCGATTTCATGTTCGGTTTTGTTATTTCCCTACCCCCTGTTCTATCTGTTTGATGTGTTGCTTGTCTTGTGATTTGCTTTGTGTGACATGTAAGAAGCAAGTTAAACAAGTAGTGAAATGTCATTGAGTTTGGAATCGTGAAACTGCTTTATAATTATATTAATCTTGCTTTATGATTGAATAAAGCTGACACTGTAGAAAGACACAACTCGTGTGTGTGCCTTCATAGCGTGCTCATGACAACATAATACTTTGAGATTTGTATATATTGGGGAATGATCACTACAAGAAAGCTAGGTAATATCTGCCACCATATATAGTTATAAATTTTTTTTCTTGTGATAAGAACTTTGAAGATCCACGCTCTTAGCAACTTTTAAATATGTAATCCAGTACTATTTTCTGTTGTTACAATAGTGTATATTATATCAGCATATTATTAAAGAAATATTTCGAAGTTTTGCAGAAAGGATGAAATCTTCCATGAGTGATGGTGATAAACTTGTCTCTTTGGGGGAAAAATACAGAATCTTATCTCATACTATACTCACAAATATAGGCAGGATGGATTAATACTAAAATAAAAATATAATTCAAGTATGTATAATCATAAATACAGTAAATTTTAATCAAGTAGTAATAAAATATTATAAAACCAAACAAAATAGAGGTAAATATGGAAAACTTTTCATAATTTTGCAGAGTACAAAAGCCACTTAAGGAACACAAAATCTCTAATGCTTTAAAGGAAAGGAGAGGTAAGTTCAAATCAAGTCAACAATAATGAAGATCAGAATGACAAAAGGAAAGTGAGTGATAGTTACAAAAGAAACAACAATCTTGAAGAAAATAGTTAAAGCCTATCAAAAATACATTAAGAACATTTCTGTAAATTGGTTTTAAAAAGGTAAAAAAGGGGCGCCTGGGTGGCTCAGTCAGTTAGGCATCCAACTTCAGCTCAGGTCATGATCTCACAGCTCGTGAGTTCAAGCCCCACGTCGGGCTCTGTGCTGACAGCTCGGAGCCTGGACCCTGCTTTGGATTCTGTCTCCCTCTCTCTCTGCCCCTCCCCCACTTGTGCTCTGTCTCTCTCTGTCTCTCAAAAATGAGTAAATGTATTTTTTTTAAAGGTAAAAAAATACTAGAAAACTATGCAAGGAATAAACAGAAAAAATAAAGTACAAATAATAAATATGAAAAATGCTTCAACCTCAATATTAATGATGAAAATGCACACTAAACAAGAAGGGGATGCCGTTTTTACTTAGAGGACAAAAGTAGAAATGAATTGGCAAGGCATGTAGAAACAGGCTGTCTCATCAAAGAAACAATTTGGTGTTTGTTTTAACTTAAAAATATGCAGTCTTTGACCCAGTTATTCAACTTCTAGGCAAGTTTTATACATGTGCACAAATATAAATATATATCCTATAATAGTAAAACTTGGCAACAATTCAAATATTCAGATTTTTAGAAAGGAAAATTTCCACTTGTGATGGTTAGTTTTATGTGTCAACTTGACTGGCCATGGGGTGCTCAGATTGAGCATAATTTTTGGATGTGTCTGTGAGGATGTTTCCAAATAAGATTAGTATTTGGATCAGTGGACTCAGTAAAGGAATTTGTCCTCCCCGATGTGAGTGGGTAACATCCAATCCACTGGAGGTGTGAACAGAACAAAAGCAGGAAAGAGGGGGAGTTCAACCCTCTTTTCCTATCTCACTACTTGAGCCAACATCTCATCTCATTTTCTGCCCTTGGACTGGGATGTACATCATCAACTCCTCTGGTTCCCAGCCTTTGGAACCAGATTAAATTATACCATCAGCTTTTCTGGGTCTCCAGCTTGTAAACAGCAGATCATAAGACTTGTCAGTCTCCATATCTGTATAAGCCAATTCCTCATAATAACTCTCCTTTTGTGTATATATTATACTATTGGTTCTGTTTCTCTGGAGATCCCTGACTTACACATCACTCAACTAGTATACTTGTAAGTATACAACTAGAAGTACTCTTGCAACTACAGTCTGGCTAATCAGATATAGATAAGCAGTGATAGTGACAATTGTGAGCACACCCCTAAATAGAGAAATTGCTCACTCTTCAATTCCTCTGTGCCGCTCTCCCTCTCCTGCGGGCCATACCAAACATAATGGAGAGGAACCAGGTCCTCTTGTATAAATGAGAAAAACACTCTTGAGGATGGAAGACCAATAAAATAAATGAAATCTGGGTCCCTGAAAACTGTCCTGGGGAGAGCCATCTGACCCTCCTGGGATTTCCGTGTGAGAAAAAATATACTTTCCATCTGGTTGAAGCCACTGTTAATCAGTTTCAGTTTGTGAAGATAAAAAGATACTTCAAGTGATCCAGTGGTAAATGTACAGGCACTAAATGTGTGACACTGAAATGTGAAAACATGCCATTATAGACACTTTTATCGGAATTCAAATGCAAATTCATAGTCAAAAGCTACAAATCAGCATTCTGACATCTCCAAAGTTCTGATGAAGAGACATAAGCAAAGCAACTTATACTTCATCGCAATTGCATTTTTTCCCCACTAACCTCCAAAGTAGGAGCCATCGGTCAGCTTCATTTCTTTACTGGATTTTGTGATGACACCAGCAACGCCATGTTGAATGAAATACATCTTTTTACCCACAGCTCCTTCTCGTATGATATAATCTCCAGGTTGAAACACCTCAAATCTCAACTTGCTCAGCATGGCAGTCACAAAATTGGGGTCCGCATTAGCAAACAGTGGCATTGTAGCCACTAGTTTCCGACAGTTGAAGTTGACTATCTCCTAAAGATGGCAAGAGTAAAGAAATATTAAGAGAGATATTAATCATATCAGGGAGATAAGCACACTTAAATTAAAATCTATATATAGCACAGTTTTGCAATTTAAATTCAGAACCAAAGATACATAAATTCTAATAATCTGCATATCTCTTCAAAGCCAGAAATCATGGTTTATTTTGGTGTTGGAATTTTATATTCGCAGCACCTAGTATCATATAGATATATATTAAACATTCAGTAAATGTGAATTAAATATGTACATCTTATCTTTTATACCTTCTCATCCCTTTGCTATACTCTATGTAAAATTAGAACTCAAATGTGGAAGAGTTTCAGTCTCCCTTTGATCTTATTCTATGAAGAAAAGAAGCCACACTACCTCCTATTAGCTATAATATTGCTGCTCCTGTGCTCTGCTGTATTGTTGAATGATCTAACTTGTACCTACTGACCAGAATTCTGAAACAAAGGCCCAGTTGCCAGACAACAGAATTTTTTTTTCTTAATGTTATTCACATTAAAGTGAGGACAATGGAGTGTGCAGAGAAAGGTTACCCAAGAAGGCTCTAATCTAACTATAACCTATTATTGTAAATTCAATCTGTTTCTGGGATAGATCAGAAAACCACTCTTTTCAAGGCCTCCTGGGTTTCCATTGGAAGTCTTGGAATGGAGGGGCCATATGTTCTTTCTCCTAAGTTGTTTGTTTGTTTTATTTCTGGAACCAAGCAATTCTCAATTAGAAGACTTACATATTTGATTTCATTCTGTAGATTCTGGTCCAGATTATACACAGTGCTATCTCCTTAGGCTAACATACAGATATGGGACCAACCATTTTTAATCTTGCAAGTTAGATATGTAAAAGGATAAATAGGAATCTAAATTTTACCACAATGCCGTTTCTCAAAGCTTTCTTCTCCAATAAGCCCCAAGGGAAAAGGGTTAAACCTGAATCTGTGATCTCCTTTAAGAGATATAGAAACTGAAGGAAACCCTGTTAAAAGATGGGAAAAGGACAAAAAATATTTGGAGATAGTAGCAAAGGCTGAGATCTGAATTATTTCTTTGGGAAAATATACAAATTTATAGAGTAAGGCTGAGGGAAAAAGGTTTCCTCTATCTTAAATTTTTTAAATATTTATTTATTTTGAGAGCAAGAGAGTGTATGTACTTGAGCAAGAGAGAGCAGGGGAGGGGCAGAAAGAGAGACAGGGGGGAGAATTGTAAGCAGGCTCCATGCTGTCAATGTAGAACTTGACATGGGGCTCCATCCCAAGAACCATCACATCATGACCTGAGCCAAAATCAAGTGTCAGAAGCTTAACTGACTGAGCCACCCAGGTGCTCTGAAAGTTTCCTCAATCTTGTTTTATAAAATGACCTGACCTTATCTTGGAATAGGTAAAAAAAAAAAACCAAAAACAAAACAAAACAAAAAAACAACTTCCAACTGATATAGAGGGCACAAAATTTGGGGTCCATCACAGAAAAAAAAAGGTATTTCATCCTTAATCATATCTTTGGAGTTCAGTAGAGCAAAGAAGAGTCTCTAATGGTGAGGCTTCATGGAGGATGGTAAAATATTTAAATGTCAGCTGTAACAAGCAAACAGTAAACATAGCAACAAAAAACAAGAGAAAGATATTACATGCAACACCCAAGCCTAAATAATGCACAGCTGACTCCATGGGTGGCTGTCCATTGACGCGTGGTCAATTTTAACTAGGGCTGAAGTGCCGTGGTGGAGGTGGGACTAAAGCAGGGTTCAGCCCTTACTACGGTAAGTCCTTAGTAAATATGCATGCATGCATGTATGGAAGGTGGAAAGAAGGAGGAAAGGAAGAAAAAAGGAAAGATGGGAGGGAAGGAAAGAAGGAAGATGGAGTTTCCACGTGGAAAAAAGTGCTCACAAAAACAAATTTTGTTCCCATTGGTAAGTATTTACTTAAAACTGTTAGAAACCTTTCTCAAGAAAATCACTTGAGAAACAAGTTTCTTGTGTATAAAAAACTGTGTTTTTTATTATTCAAAATACTTCTAAACAAAATGTCATGAAGATAAGAGGTGAACCACTCAAGGTACTCAAGCTAACCACATGAGTTGAAGGAAGACAGAGTAGGTCATTAAAAGGACCAGACTGATTGAGGAATTAATGATTCCACATGTAAAATGACAGAAGAATACTGTGTAGGAAAGTGAAAATAAGTCAGGTTGCAGAGAAAATAAGAATTTTCAAATAAAAATAATAAGGCAGAGAATCTTTTTATCTATGTTCTTTGACTTAAGCTACACAATTTTTTCTCTTCATTGTTCTCTTATGCTTTATTTTAGAAAATAATTGGAAGTATATTTTATAAACAATTTAACTGTTCTTTATATGAATAATTCTTTTTCTGTGATGCACTGCATATTAAGGTATACCTATTGTGACTGCCTTGATTATAACACTGTGGGGATAATTTCATATTATTGCTATTGCTTAAAGGAACCCATTAATTTTCTCTCTCTCCCTGTGGAACTTTTACCTCCATTGTGACTACAATCAGTTTGAAACTGTAAATTCTAACAAGTATTTGATAAGAAAAAAAATGTAATTAGACAGAAGGTGATTTGCATTTAAAAGCCCTCTCTCCTCCCATGAAAGTTGCTTGCTTGGAGGGCATATAGTTTAATGGAAACACTCATGTGAGTCTAGAAGTGAAGCAAAACTTTTAAAAGCTCTTCTCCATCAATCATATTTCTTTATAGCACATTTTTTAGGGAACATATTTAATTAAGTTATTAATATCTCTCCATATGTAAAACAAGACTTTTAAAGCTCCTCCTCCATCAATCACAGTTCCTTATAAGCACATTGACTTTAAGGAAGACACACGATTAAGTTATTAATATCTCTAATTTCCATCCAGATTCTTTATGGCACTTGTTATAATGAGCTATTTTAGCAACATGTCTGGCCTGAATGAAGAGTATTGACCATATGCTTTAAATTGAGGAAAGCTCCATTCCTAAGAGAATCAGACGTAGCCCTGACCTTAATAAGGCACTCCAAATTACTAAGCTTACTATCAACACTTTAAAAAAATGTAGCTACCTCTTCCCAAAGCATCTTGTAGTAACAAGTACAGACGTACTAAAAACCAACCAACCAACCAACCAACCAAACAAATACAAACATCAACCAAAAAAAAA